ATCCATGTTGGTATTTAAGGCAACCAGGCTGCTGATGCATTATCCAAAAAAAAAGGTACAAGAGAACCCTTGCCACAGAATAATAAATTTACTTTTAAAGAAATAGAGACAGTAGCCAAAACAAACAAGAACTGAAGGGGATCCCACCTAAAAGCACAGCTGATACAGTGGAGTGGACCCAGGAAGAGCTCTGAACCTCAGAAATAGATAGCACCAAACAAGATTAAGAACAGGCCATCTCAAGCCATTGAAGATAGAAAACAATAACAAAATCTACCCCACTTGTCCTAAATGTAGCTTGGCACCTGCAGCTCCAGAACACATTTTGGCTTGCATTAGATGCACTAAATTGAGGAGCATGAACTCATGGAATTTGTGTATTCTTTGCACAAGGGGATAATAAACAAGGACAACAACAACAGTCAGTTATTTGATAAATTTGCATTTCTCTGTTTTTAAGTTTGGTCTAGGTGTCTTATATTAAAACTTCTACAGGGTGTAATAAACTTGCAGCAATTTTTTTGTCATTATGAGTTTGTGTTAGTTCTCAATGAATTCCTCGTGTAATTCTGGTCCAGAAACTTTTATTCATTCGTTTATATTCATCGTCTTAAGATTTGTCGAAAGTGACATGGAAATGAACACCTGATTGTGGTCAAGTTAGGCAGGCTGACATTGTTTGAAGGGAGAGGGCCGTCTACGGTGCCATGGAAGGTTACAAGGAGAGACTGGAGATCACCTTCGGAGCGGTCATCCAACTACTGAGACAGGGAACTTCCAGGAGATTTGCTGTGGAATTCAAGGAAAACTGGAGGGTTCGATAGGCAAAATGAAGAAGTTTAGGATCAGCGAGTTAAGTGTTCGCAGCATCATCCAGAATAATCTGTGCTGCTCGTCAACAATGTTTCTTCGTCCCTCGCTTGTCGAAGGTGCTCTTCACAAATGAGAAGATTCTCAGGGTTGAACCGCTCTACAGTCGCCGCCAGCTGTACAAGAAAGACCGCGCTGCGAAGGCCATCAGCTGCAGCCAGGATCTGAACCATCATCTGTGGCCCGGCACAAACCAATTCCTGACATGAGTCAGTCTGGTATAGCAACCAACCTTGGGATAAAACAGCAGATTCAGTGAAAGACCCATCTGCAATGAACAAAGGTGACGTCATTTTATTCCAATTCAGGCAATGCTGCAATTGTTGCCACTCTGTCAACTTCAACGAATTCTGGGTCGATCTGGACACAATTGATTACATTGATTACCCCACATGGCAATGTTGTAGCAACTAGGATTTCAATAGGTCATAGAGAAAAGTTTGTGGATAGTCGAAATTCCATCAATCTTCAATTCCACAGTCAACAGTGGTAAACAGAGAGGAAGTTCTACAGTCACTAAATATAAAACAATGAATGTGCTAAGTGCAGAGTCAACACTTGCTGCTCCTTGTATGCAAATGAAGGGTAATTTCCCACTTCCCTTGATTAAGTTGGAAGAAGTTATAAAAAACAGAACAAACGGATGACAAGTACTACAGTATATGACATTGTCACAAACAACAAACCTGTCACTCAACGACCGTGGTCACACTATCCTGCAGGGAGGCGATGAACTTCTCCTTCATCTTCAAATCTTGGTCCAGCTCTGTGATGGCGGTGCCAGCTCTGTGATGGCGGTGCAGGTCAGCCTGCAGAATCTCGGAATCTTTTTCAAAGTTTTCCTCATCTACTGCCGGACTGTTGGGGTTGCTGGCTGTCAACCTTGACATCTGCACATCTCTGGCTGTTTGGACTATCTTTGAACATATTGGTATTTCATCTAATGGCGAACACTGGACAAATGACAATAGGTTCCAGTTATTGCAATTAATATATTACATGGAAAAATAAAGAATGTTAGAGAATACATAAAATAAAGAAAACTTATTTATCTCTAACGTAATGTTTCTGCTTTTGCCATTAAGACTAAACTTTTCTCAAGATGCCTTGTATGTTAAGAATTTGTGAGTTCAGGTAAAACTGGACCTCTCTCTTTTAATTTTACCTGGTTAAGAATGACAGCACTTTTTTTATAAAATGAACTCTCTCTTGAGAAAATTAAATTTAAACTTCCTTACCGTCTTTTTAGACTTTGGAGAAAGCATGGAGAATTCCCAATTTAATATATTACATGGAAAAATAAAGAATGTTAGAGAATACATAAAATAAAGAAAACTTATTTATCTCTAACGTAATGTTTCTGCTTTTGCCATTAAGACTAAACTTTTCTCAAGATGCCTTGTATGTTAAGAATTTGTGAGTTCAGGTAAAACTGGACAGTTTCTGGTCTAGACACGATATCTGACAGGATGAGAGTTGAATATAGAGGTCAAGGTAGAGAAGTAACTGTATTTGTCTTGAAGGACGGGTTATCATATCTGGGTTGATAGAATCTTAAGTCGCTGATGGAAGTGCTGGAGCACAGAGAACACTTGTTGTTACCAGGTCAGTTTGTTATGTAGTAATTAAATGCTGTGTAATGGATCATTTCAAAGTGATAGGGACAATTTGGACGATATATTGGAAACATGAGAAGACCACATCCAACTGAATAAATCCTGCATGACATCAGCAACAGTGTGAATACCATCATCAGCCAAAATTACTGTATCTTTTCAGAATTTATTTTTAGTTACTTCGTTCAATACTTTGTCTGATGTTAACAATGCTGTTATTGAGAGAGAAACATCTAGCATAATATATTCATTAGGTTTTAATAATCTTTTTTAAAATTAATTAAATCCCATTAAAAAAAAACTCAAAGATTATGTGTCTGAATCAAAAATGCAACACACACCAAATTAAAACAAGGGGAACCACAAGTGATGTTTCAGAAACAACACATCAGATATACACTATAACAAAATATTTCCCTCTCCCTGTATATTCCAGAGACTGTGTAAAGGAGTATGCTGCAATGTAATGCCCTCAGAATTGTTTCTTTGGTTTTATTATCTACGATGTTTCTATACCCATCCTTCTCTAACTGACCTTTCCAGTATCTGTTTATATCTGGGGAAAAATTTAGAGGTGTGTGGAACTTACTCTTGTGTCATCAATTAGTTCTTCCAGGTCTTTGGTGAGATCATTCTGGTTCAGTTTTTTCTGGAAACAAACGGTGAACTTGATTAGACTAAGTCAATACAGGATTGGGTCAATTATCTCTCATTACCACATCAAAATGGCATATGTAATCCTTTAAGAGAGAATTGTTGAGTTATCAATATAGATTTATCAGAAAATACTTGTCCAAATGAGAAGTCATAAAGAAGGAATGGTGGGAATGATAACAAAGTATAAAAGAATGGCAAAATCAAGGGCATGCAAGCTTGGACTTGAAGAAAAACAAGGGTTAAGTCTCAGGAGAGAGAGAGATGCCTACCAATACATTTTTATTTAACATTTATTATATCACAATGTTATATGAACGTTTACTGTTGGTAAACAATTTTGGTGTTTGGAATTCATTAGCTGGTTTAAGGAAAAGGTGAAATTAGGATTATAGATGAGAAAAATTAAGGTATATTTATATAACAAGGCCATATTCAACTTTAAAAATCTTGTTTAACGCTTATTAACTGTAGCGTGATGACAGTCACTCAAATGTTGCACACAATTTATTTGGATTCAGTCTTGTTACCTTATGTTTTCTCAGGTTTAATAATAATTCCTCACAAGAAACATCGTGCCACTTTTTGTCTGAGCAGAAACAATGCTTCCATCAATAAAATTAATGATAAATGCCAATTTAATATATGCAAAGATATATCTACATACAAATTTAAAAATAGCTATATTTGCCCTATGTAAATAATAAGGGTATCTCTCCCATTTAAACACTTGTTACCATGTCAGTTTGTAATTGAATGCTGCGATCGTTTTAAAGTGATAAGGTCAATTTGGAATATAGCTCAGATAAAAAATGTTTTAAATTGTGAAAAAAGTGATTTCAACATAGTCTTAATATAAGATGTATCAATGCACGAGGTGGCAGCTCGGTATGGCCAAATAGAACTTTTAGCAATCCAGAGTACATAAAATGAACATAACCATGACCTTAAATCGTTAACCTTCCAGCATAACAAAGAAAGAGCCCAATCCTTCATCTTATCTGAACCAAATATACATTACTCCAACATCGAAGGTATGTAGTTAACACGTATATATACTTACCGTCCAGTTTACGTAGATATTTGTGGTATTCATTGTTCCAACTGAAGTCAGCGCCGAAGCTGAGCAGGGTCGAAATCAGTGAGATAATCTCGATGGCTCCAAGTGCCGTGGATGGACTTTAAAGCCGCTTCCAGACTCGAGGCATTAGTTTGAGGAGATGGGTAGGTCGGTGTGTTGTTCATTCGTTACATCAGACTTTCTCTGTAGCAATGGTAACTTGGTCATATCATCATCTTAGAGGCATCTTTGCGGAGACATTTGGTCACAATTTCTTAACATTAGTTTAATCCTAAGGTCTTCTCCCTAGGGCCATGGGAAAGCGAGGTGGGCTTTTCTGAGCCATGGGAAGCTTGCTCCACCATGCTTTACTTGTGCCCCCAGGACTATGCAGGTAGTGCTGTATCGAGCATCGTAGATTCAGGGGAACGTCGCCACTGTACGACATCCAAGTTTTTCTCGAGACTTTTCAACATCTTTGTCGCCATCCAGGATTTGTGGCGTCCGAGAGCCACGCTGAGTGAGGCTTATAAGGTTATATGTCTGGAGGCTTATGTCTTGGGCATTGCAGCTGGGCTGTGGTCATCATGCCAGACTTGAGGTCCTCCCGGAACCGCGCCATCAGGTGTCCACCAGGTCCTCCAAGGACCGTGCGATTACGCTGTAACAATACCATCATGGAATTCTATCACATAGGATAGTATGTGAGTGGGCGTTATGAATTCAGCGGAATTCAATAGGATACCATGTAATCAACGCTGCTGTAAAACAATTCCTTCAGGGAATACTATTATACTGGAGAATATGTTGTTCTGCGCGTTCTCTGCATAGGGCAGTAACTAAACTCATCTTATATATGAATCTATTTAGATATATAGGAAGCAACAACAAAACCTTCATAACCCAAATAAAAACACTTTTTCTAAGATTATTGCTTCGATAAGAAATTAAAGGTCTAAATGTGAACCCATATATGAAATATTCCATTTGGTTAATCATCAAATCTTGATATTGCCCATGATTGTCTCTAGGGAAGTTTACACGCACATTGTCTCCAAATTTTATGTTAATGATATATATATATTCGCATATATAATGGCCGCAACATATTAAAGTTTTAAGAGATTTCAACAAGAATCGTTTAGCATTCGCCAAGATAGTAGATGGGCTGTGTTTAAGTCAATAGGATAACTTTTACTTAAAACCCCGATATGCCTTCAAAGCCAGTTTTCACCTAGTTAGCCTTTCAGATTCAAGAGGTCCGACACATAAAATTAACCCTATTTTAAAATTTGTTCATAAACATCTTTATATCTTTGCAGACAACAAAGATGCCTCAGAGCTGAAAACAATTAAAACTTCCTCTCTCCAACTACCGTCAACTCCCAATTTAACAGTGGATCTAGCAGAGTTGACTGGGTCTGATGTCGGGAACCGTCTTCGGCGCCACAGTGTCAAAAGTAAAGACTAGTCACCAATCGAGTTGCGGTTTTATCAAGTACCCCGCAATTATTGTCCGGCCTGCTTCTGTCTGTACAATATTGTTTTTAGGCTTCGTTATTGTAAAGTTAATCTAGAAAAACAGAAACATTTAGAAAAATATATTTGTTGACTCCTCTCTGAGATATTAGTTCAACCTATTTTAAAATTATATTTTGTGATATGTAAAACAGAGTGTGAACCTAGAGTACATTTTACGAATGAATACAGTACTCTAGAGTATTACATTTTTTTTTAATTCTCGACACACTGTATTTTACTGCAAGCTAAACATCTCGATTGTTATATTTAAAATTTATTCTGGGGCGTATTGAAGCGTTTTGAGTGATTTGAACGGAATGGGATTAGATATACCGTGGTTGTCTCTTTCACCCCGATAAATCGCTGCTGAGACCCAAGTTACCTGATCTCTGGCAACTGGCAGCAATTCAGTTACTGCGTTAATCTCACCTTTGATCTTCCACATCGAGTGGAGGTGGTTAGTTAGGCTTATTTATGACACTTATAAAATGATGGTTATAAAAAAAACTGTCAAAATTTTGAAAGGGGGATACAGGGGAACGTGACTATAGAATTTTGAAGACCAGAGGGTGTGGGTTAGTAACTACAGAAACGGGGGTTAGTATTCCTAACGGGACCCCGGCTCCGCGTTCCCGTGAAGCCGCAGTCGCAGCTGCACGGGATCGCGGGGCAGGGGGGATGCGGGCCTGGGAAAACAGGGAGCGGAAGAAGAAATTTCGAAAGCTAGGGGTGGAAGGAGAAACTCGTATTGGGGGCAGGGGAAAAATAGGGGTAAATCGAGGGAAAATGAGGAATTGGGAAGGGACATTTGGTGTGCGGACTGTAAGAAAAGATCATTGTTGATGTAGCCTTGAGGGTTGTCAAAAAGTTCGGGGGGATCGAGGGCCTGGAAAATGATTGGTGGAGGGTCTGTCTGTGTGCCTATATCAACTTTGCCTCTGGTCTTGGCCCTGCACACACACAGCCTGTTAGCTTTGTGGAATCTGGAACATTACAGGAGTAGTGGTATAGTGTCAAAATTTATATAACATACACATTTAATATATATATATCCTGCTTGTAGAACTACATACAATTTAATAGGGATCAGAGTTTACATAAAAATATTGAAATGGAATAAACGTAAAGGAATGCGCGTAGACAAGAGCTAACTAAAGGAATGGAAGAAGTAGGAGAAACAGGAAAATGCAAAAAAAAAAATAATAATAATAATAATAACAACCCATCAAAATGTTCAACAGACAACTGTTTATAGAGTACAGAACATGGTCCTCTTAGCAGCTCTAGGTCGACACATTCTAACAAAGAGAGGATCAATGATAGCCTTTGATATTTCCTAGATTCAGGCCATTGCCACTCGGAGATATATAACAGTAGGTGGGCATGTTAGATGGACTTTGCAAATCATCGGCGTTGACGTCACCACTCCCTGTTTGGGTTTTGCCTCGCTCCTATTAACCCTTTCTTTGCTCACAAAACAAAGGCATTCCACAAAACAATGAGGGAATTTCATTACAACAAATTTTCTATAAGAGACAAATATTATAGAAATATCGAATAAAAAAACTGTAAACCCGTTTTAACACCAAGTTCCAAAAAATCAATTTGAGCAACCCTGTTGATGACAACACTCTTTTCAACACCCTATCAAGAAATCCTTGAAGTGATTATGTTCATAGCTGTTAACACTCGTCTGCAAACTACCACAGTAGTCCTGACAGATACACTGAACTGCAATGAAGAAGGTGATGAGATATCTAACAGGAACATTGGTATAAGAATTGAAATTTGGATGAGGGGGAACCTAGAAAACTTATTTCCTATATTTACAAAGAAAGGTCACCTCTCCCTTCAAAATAGACGCAAAAAACTATGCTCATCTGTCGAGCGTCTGTGCAAACTAGCAGATACGGCGGATAGTAGTGGCGGTTACCCATAAAAGCTCGTTGAAGCAACTTCAGATTGGAAAAGCCTATTGCCGCTTGTGAATGATACTGTCATATCAAGTCTATGACAAACCTGTTGCAAGAGTTGGAAGAATGGGAAATTATGAAAAAAAAAGAGCTGACATTTATACAAATATTATGAGGCAAGATCAACTGAATGTCCAGTATCCCCATATGTAGACATATAAACAGAAAATACCATTCCTTGATAGACAGTTATGAACGAGTCTAAAACATCCGTTTTCTGTATATGCCATCGGAGGAGTTGGAGACGGACATCTTTACAGGGAAATCAAATGGGGAATCATCTGGTGAACCTCAGCGCTGTTGACTGTGAATTAAGGTGTTTGATGAACATATCATCCCCAATAAACGTTATGGATGTCCTCATCACTTTAAAAACAGAAGTAAGTACAAACACTATTTGACAATCGTAGGAACGTTGGTATATCTATAAGGTTCTCGTTTAAAATAAAGTCTGACGATTTCTCCCAGGATTTAAATGCAAGAAAATTTCAGCAAGGCTGATAGCCAGGAAATGAATTTATTTCCTCTCAGGCTGGTGAGATTTCTAGTGAGAAGTACAGCATTGTATTGATGATGTGTCAGTGGCTGAACTGCTGGCCCCACAAGACGTCAGGTAGAGTGTACGCCGCCCTTCCACAGTCACCAGGTGTCATCCGCTGGTCCAGTTACGACAATATCGCTCCATGGTTCCTGTGCCAAGCACTCAAGGACACCACCGTTGCTGATTGTTGACTTTCTACAACCTCTTGTGGATGGATGGACACAACCTATTGGCGTGGCTTCGAATGACACTCTCAGGGACTAACAGAATCCCAGGAGCTTCTCTCTGAATCTGCCAGTTTATACGGTGTTTGGCGCGATCCTTTCACTCTCCCCCGAATTCACAGGTTCCACATCTACGTCCACATTGGGGTATATTGCTGGATATCTCGTGTCTATCGCTGGTGGCGATTAAACTTACTTACGAATCCATACACACTTCCACGTCCTCAATTATATTTTAATGAAAAACATCTAGATGAAAATGATTATATTCTTTCTCTATAAACAACTGTATATTTTACGTTGAAAAAAGATGAGTACAATTGTAAATAGAATATGACAGTACTATTAAGTACAAATTAAAAGAAAGATCTTTGAACCACTATATATGTTGAGAATAGAACGTAGTCAGAACATTTAGAATACATTAAATAATAAAATCCGGGATCGCAATGTTTCGACGCGGCAGTTTGTCCGTTTTATGGGATTCAACGGCGCAGACTCTGGTCGGTGAACATGCCATAGCACCAGCTTTGACAAATTGACGGGAAAAACCCTGAATCTATGGTTTCAAAGGGAGAGGTACCCACTTTAATTATGTACATACCAACCTTCCGCCATTTTATCCTGTATTCTGGCACTACTTCACCAGACATTTTGATCAGATTGGGCCGATTCTATAACTCCTCTCGTGTAGGATGTCAGCCGATCGACACGCACCTGTACTGATGACGGCCACGGCTTGGCTCGACGTTCAAAGCTCTTCTAGAAGAATATACGCCGAGTCTTTTGTAGAAGATTGAAAAATTCCCTGTTTTAATGCATTTTTTAAATATGAGTGTGGTTCACACTTCCATGATTACCTTCCTCCCGTATTTTATATCATACTAGAGCACCACATGCGACGGAGAAATTCGAGCACCTATTTACATACACTGTTTACTCTATCTTACAGACCTGTCGAAACTGTAGATAGAAATAATAATAAAACTACAAATTATTAAATGCCTATTAATAGTTTTTGAAATTAGGAAATACACTGCGTGACATTGAAAATGGAACACCAAGAAATAGGAAATAGTGGCCAGAAAATTATGCAAATTTCAGGGTAGACGCGCCTAACCGAGTTATGCAAATGATGTAAAATGCGCAGCTCTTGTGCGCACATGGAGTAAGATATAAGGGAAGGAACTTGCAGAAAGGACAGTATTCGTGTCGTTATTTCTTCAAGGAAAATCATTGTAGAAATTTTGTTCTTGTGTCAAAAGACACGTGTAATAACAGAGAATGCCAGGTCATCGTAAATGGAGGCAGTTCAAGCAGACAGACGCTTTTACGAGGGCATGGTGATCGGACTGAAAAGGGCAGGTTGGTCCATACGTCAAATCGCAGCTGATACACACCTTGGTGCGTCCACGGTGCACCGACTGTGGAGAAGATGGTTGGAACAAGGAAATGTGGCAATTTATAGGAATGTCGGTGCAACCAGAGTGACGTCAGCACGTGTGGATCGGCGTATCCTTCGACAAGCAGTGGCGGCCCCACAAGCCACTTGTACCGCCATCCTGCAACATGTGCAAGACACCCTAGATCATTCCATCTCGACCAGAACCATTTCCCGTCGATTGGTTGCTAATGGCTTGCACTCATGCCGTCCGCTAAGAAGACTGCCATTGACCCCACCGAATAGGCGCCAACGTTTGGAATGGTGCCGGGCTAGATCGACGTGGATGACGGAATGGCACAGGGTCGTGTTCTCAGATGAGTCGCGTTTCTGCTTGTCCAGTGATAGTCGCCGTGTACGCGTGTGGCGTCGACGTGGAGAAAGGTCCAATCCGGCAGCAATTGTGGAACGCCCCACCGTGCGACAACGTGTAATCATGGTTTGGGGCGCAATCGCGTATGATTCCAGGTCACCTTTACTTCGTATTCAGGGCACTATGACGGCCCAACGATACGTTGATGATGTGCTGCGACCGGTGACACTCCCCTACCTTCAGGGGGTACCCAATGCTCTTTATCAGCAGGATAACGCCCGACCGCACACTGCTCGCATTAGCCAACAAGCTCTGTAAGATGTACAGATGCTTCCCTGGCCACCGTACTCTCCTGAACTCTCACCAATCGAGCACGTCTGGGACATCATTGGACGCCGTTTGCATACCTTGCCACAGCCGCGTTCAGAAGACGAACTGTGGCAAATGGTTGAGAGGGAATGGAGAGCCATCCCTCAGGACGCCATCCGTACTCTGATTGACTCTCTACCTAGACGTGTTGCTGCGTGCATCGCCGTCCGCGGTGGTCCTACTTGCCACTAAGCCGACGCCGTTCTCGCTCTGTATTATGACTATCATTTTGATATAAAGATCACTTATTGTTCGTCCCTGTCTCTCTCTGTCTGCCGAGTTTCATCACTTTCTGGCCACTATTTCTTGGTGTTCCATTTTCAATGTCACGCAGTGTATATAATTTTAGTCAATGTTATTAAATGATCTGATAGATAGCAGTGGGTCATCAGCAACATTCAGTTGTTAGAATAGCAGGTTTCATTGATTTAACACACTGCTCTGCTCTAAACTCTTCAAAAACTCGTCAAGCTAAGGGTTGCGAAATTAAAGTAGAAATCAGCTGGGAACGACAACTTAAATGCCAATAAAAAAGTTACCATATTATATTGTGACATTGAAATGATTCATCAATTTATTTTTATTAATTAATTATAATTATATGTATAAATAAAAATACACAAAATATACCTCTATTAAAATCATCATACATGTTCCATAGCTTGGTTGTTCAATGTTCTCTATCTGTATATACACTCATGAACAAAACTTAAGGAAGTTGTACCTTTTACCATGTATATCGGGATTCAGACAATAACTCTGAAAGATATTACAGTGACCTTTATTGAAGACACACGAGATAACCAAGTGTGAACAAAATTACCTCTGTTTCCTTAAAAACAAAAACAGACGACCGGCGGCATCAAAGACTTTCCAATTCGTTGTTTTGTCCATGAGTGTATTTCAGTAATTTAATAACAATTAAATATTTAGCACATCATTTGTGAAGAAAATATATCTCTCATAAAATCTACAAATTAAAAAATATTCAATTAAATGTCCAAAACTATGGCTTTATTTGAAATAAAAGCCATTATAATACGCATACAAACGTTTACACAGCAAATATATACAATATTTATGTTTAAAAATAAATGAATCACTTATATTGATAACAAATTAATATTTATATAGAACTTTGATAATTTGTAACTCCCAGGTATCGTAACCATCAAACATTGACTCCATAAACGTGGCGCCCTGTGTTCACTTGGCAGAATTACAAATTACTCCTGTCATAAATAGGTTGGCTTTGAAAACTGCGGAAGCCGCGTGAAGTACATCGCAACTCTGATACATCTCTATAAATGATTGTTTGTTACAGTTTTTAGCTTCTAACTCCAAAGAGATTCGAAATAGAAAAACTTTACATTTAGGATTTCTTCCACCTTTGAGGTCATAAATAATCGCTTCAAAGTCAAGCCTTAACTCCCAACCGTTCCATAGTCGATACCGTGCATCAGCGATATCGTAATTTATAGATAGATAAATATAGAAATCACATATATATTAAAAGAGTTGTGGGAAAGGATTTTATTCATCGTTCCAAAACTGACACATATTCCTTTTCATATTCAAAGAGCGAGGAATTTTGGTACAAATATATTTTTGGTACATATAAATCTAATATAAAAATATATAACTTGAAAAATATTTATGTTCCTTTATAAAAAGAACCTCAATAATTCTGAAGAATCAATACGGTACATATTATTTTTTTAAATGGGCTCAGGAGATAATACGACATTATGGAATATAAAACATTGAAAAAAAAACTCTATTTTATATATGTGTCTATTTTTGAAAATATAAAGAAAATGAAAACTTATTAAAATTTAAACATTAATAATTGAAGTGAACTAATTTTGAAAATCTTGAAAAAACTCGTTCACTTACTAAAATATTTATACTAATATATACTTCTAAAAATACCTTCTTTTCAAAATTAAAGCGCAGGCGCGCAGATGTCATTTTTGAGAATTATAAATGCGTTTTTATTTAAATCAAACAGCCTGAAATCGATGCCATTTAGATGATTGTCTAAAAAGAAAAAAATACAAGAATTAAAAATATATTAATATAATATTTACCTAGATATGCACTTCTGCCCCTGAAATGTAGGTAATATTTAAAAATATAATTCTTTTTTATACGATCATTTTTATTGATTATTTTCAAAATGTCAAATAAAATATTTATAATTCCTTAATTTTTTTTTTGTATTTTTAAATTTTATGGGCAAATATACCTCTCTCTCTAATATTTGTACTATTTAAAAGTACATCTTAAAAAAAAAAAAACTAAGATGGAGAGTGACTTTAATTTTATGGGGAAATATTAACGGATATTTTAAACATTTTTCATGAAAAGATATTAAATATATTCGTTTTCACATATTTATTAACAATATTTTGAATATACACTAATATATGCATATAGGTATTTAATATATATACGTTTTGATTTATTTAAAAACCTTTCAAATATTAAAAAAAATACATTTTTTATTTTAATAGGAAGGCATTTTAGATATTTGTATATATATATTTCTTTAATTCAACAACCCAAGAAAAGAATCAGAATTTTTAATTATATTAATAAAGGGTTTTTTGATAAAACAGTCTTTTAAAATGAATACCCAAATTTTCATTCATTAAAATAATATTTTAAGGAAATAATCTTGTGACATATTTTTTAAAAATTAATAATATAAAACGATACTAGTGTGGACATTTTATTAAAAAAATATATATTTTTAGAATGTTTGATAAAACCTTTTACTGAAGAATAAATTTGCAATAACACACATTTTCAACATATAAAAATTACAAATACTATTTTAATTTAACAGTACATTTTCCGTCTGATTAAACTGAATAAACTTGCGAAAATTATAATCTTTAAAAAAATATTTAGTTTTAAAAAAAGTTTGCACAGTTTTAGAGAATAAATTATTTATTAACCACATCACGATATATAGCTAACAACTAGTAATTGATTATTTACAAAGCTATATAAATATATACAATCTGGATTCTTGGAGCACAGGACACACTACCTGAATAACAAGAAAACATTAGAAGACCAAGCTATTTTGTATGTATAAGATTTTAATAAATATGAATAAAAATATTTTAATTCTCTATAAAACATTTCCTAAGCTTTAGCGAATTATATTGAAAATTATTATATTAGTCCCTCATATCACAATATTACTTCCCTATTAAATTCGACCATTGTATAAATATTTGGTAGTCAAATTGATCTTCTATTTTCAACATTAAGCATGAGACAAATGATCTGATATCAGTTTGATTGAATACCTTTTGTTCCGACGGAAAAGTTTGCAGAACTTGAAACATCCACGCATTTTGTTTCGTTTGCTTAATAATCTGATCTATATATAGCTTAGCAACAGATTTTGATTTTTTTCTTTTGAATGAAATAATAAATTCGGTCATTTTTAGACAGATATATAAGTATACATAAATATGTATGAATATACACTAATCTTAATAAACTATAAAGATTCCTGGAGCCTCGAAGAAAATGCCTTTGATATAAAAATATCTCTAGAAGAAAATATTTTATTACAAAGTGAAATATTATAAAAATGCCTTTTGTTTATCTCCACGTTGTGGAAGAATTTGAAAATTATTATATTATAAAATTTCACGAAATTTTATTGACCGCCATTTTTACGTTCCGAACCACAAAAAAGTTACACCTCCGCTGTATAAAAACGTCTGTGTCCTTCCTTTTTCGACCACGAACTCTGATATTGCGTTATTTTTACGAAAATTCGGTATTCGCACGTTTTTCAAAAATTCGCCTTCCCTAGAAGCATCCTTACGGCACCCCATAACAAAAAGCTCCATCAAACTTAACCCTCTATCCCTCAATAACGGCATCTATAAAATATCATGCAACGATTGTGAGCAATGCTACATTGGTGAAACTGGTCGAACCATCGCCACTAGAATCCGCGAACACAACCGTAATATACGTTCTAAAGATCGAAAATCTCTCATTTTTCAACACATGGCAGATTTCGACCATTCCTTCAATTTAGACGATACGATTTCTGTATACAGGGATATTGGAAACAAGTACCAACGCTTGGTTCTGGAAGCACTGGTGTCCAACTGTACTCCCAGTTTTAACCGGAAGATTGATCTCCCACCGCAATATACAATATTTTACGGCCTCACTCGCTGATATGTTCCTGGGTTTTATTGTTATTTTCGGTTCAATTTTTATCTCCGTGTTTTGCCTTCAGGTTTAATTTTTATCTCCGTTTTTTGCCTCTATTTCTCACACAGAGTTTGTTTTATTTGTAAATATGCAAATTCCCCTTTCCAATCTTCAGTATGTAAAATTCCTTATGTCCTTGCGCGTATATATGTAAATATTTTTGCTTATAAATATGGCACTTCTTTGTCTACACTTGTATAAGACCTGAAGAAGGGCAGTTGCTGCCTGAAAGCTCGTCATGTTCCATTAAAAGAATCTTACCACGTTACCCTGTTTTTCCTTTGAATCTTACAGCGTGGCGATATGATGTCTGATCCTAACGAAATTATATGCATACTACACTTCGAGTATTTCCGAATGCTTAATGAATATGGTTAAGTTTGAAGATACAAAATCGACAATGATTCTGCAACGTTTTATATATTTGATATTCTGATAATATATAATCTCACGTCTGTGGATTTGGAATACTATCAAATAGTAGTTGGTCTCAATCAAATAGAAAGTGAATTTCAACACCAAAGAAAGACAATTTTTCTGACAATCGGACAATTTAGACGATACGATTTCTGTATACAGGGATATTGGAAACAAGTACCAACGCTTGGTTCTGGAAGCACTGATGTCCAACTGTACTCCCAGTTTTAACCGGAAGATTGATCTCCCACCGCAATATACAATATTTTACGGCCTCACTCGCTGATATGTTTCTGGGTTTTATTGTTATTTTCGGTTCAATTTTTATCTCCGTGTTTTGCCTTCAGGTTTAATTTTTATCTCCGTTTTTTGCCTCTATTTCTCACACAGAGTTTGTTTTATTTGTAAATATGCAAATTCCCCTTTCCAATCTTCAGTATGTAAAATTCCTTATGTCCTTGCGCGTATATATGTAAATATTTTTGCTTATAAATATGGCACTTCTTTGTCTACACTTGTATAAGACCTGAAGAAGGGCAGTTGCTGCCTGAAAGCTCGTCATGTTCCATTAAAAGAATCTTACCACGTTACCCTGTTTTTCCTTTGAATCTTACAGCGTGGCGATATGATGTCTGATCCTAACGAAATTATATGCATACTACACTTCGAGTATTTCCGAATGCTTAATGAATATGGTTAAGTTTGAAGATACAAAATCGACAATGATTCTGCAACGTTTTATATATTTGATATTCTGATAATATATAATCTCACGTCTGTGGATTTGGAATACTATCAAATAGTAGTTGGTCTCAATCAAATAGAAAGTGAATTTCAACACCAAAGAAAGACAATTCTTCTGACATAGGTAGCAAGCCATTTAGAAACTCTCTCAAATTATATTTTAATTTTACTATAGGAATTCTACAAAGCTGCATACTTGGCGTCTGAACCGAGTTCACCATGAATCTCTTGTTTTGTTTAAATTAACGAGACTTTTTAAAAGTATTTTATTGTTCCTTCACTATGGCATATGATAATCAATTTAATATTTTTTAGTGTATTCTAAAAATAATATAAAAATATTGGTCCTATAAACACTACGGACCAAGGCCTTCCTAAAGTAAACCCCTCCTTTGTTTAGCGACCACCACTTAGAGAAAATACCATCAAAATTTAAAATAATAACTGGACCTGACATATCCCAGCATCTGATGAGAGTACCACCTCCAGAACAGACCAAGATTATATTTAGGCGAGATATTATGAGAAATTGTACTATGTAATTTAGTATATACAACCCCAACTCTAATTGAAACTTCATAAAAATTCCAAACATTTTCAATAATGAATATTTTTTTTATTTTAATAGAAAAACATTTTAGATATTTGTGTATATATATATTTCTTTAATTCAATAACGCAAGAAAATAATCAGAATTTTAAATCATATTAATATAGGGATTTTTGGAAAAACAGTCTCTAAAAATAAATGTTTATTATAAATATTCATTCATTAAAATAATATTTTAAGGAAATAATCTTATGAGATTTAAAAAATAATAATAATATAAAACGATAGTATTGTAGACATTTTATCAAAAAAAAATAGAATGTTATATATGTCACTGTGTATTAAATATCTTTCAGAGTTATTGTCTGAATCCTTATATACATGGTAAAAGGTATAACTTCCTTAAGTTTTGTTCATGAGTATAAATAAAATAAATACAAAGTCTTTATTTAGGTCTTCCTTTGCGGGAAAGACTCCGCTATCGATGGACCGCCAGAGGTCTTTCCCACAGAGTCGGCAGGACGATGTGGTGGCCGGTATTGCCCAACTCAAGACCAGAGAAAGAAAGAGAGATAGAGGTGCACAAGGTTTGTCCGTTTGAGGGGCAGAGATCATTACCTTTCCACATTTTAATATTTTTAAAGTTTGTAATATCTGCATATAGGTGCTGTTTATTTAGTTTCAGGGTTTAATAGATTTTTTTCCAAAGTGGGTTCAGGTTATCTGACTATAGATGAAAAATCTTCCTAAAAACATTAGAAAGACATGAAATAAAAAGCTTGCTTAGAGAGAATAGCCACAGTAGTGAGACTTGCGTTTATAATTTTCATCCCGAAAGGAAACAATCAATGATTGAATAGTGTCATTTTGTGACCACAACCACCTTGTCTGGTCCCCCGCCTCTAACTTGACACTGTAATGAGTCAACCTGTGCTGGAGAGATAGATAATGGCTATTTAATAACAAATTATAAATAATTTGGAAACACATTATTTATTCAAGTAGAAAAGGAAAGTCCTTGATTTCTCTGTTTCCCCTTAAGGTCCAATATTTAATTATGAGGTAATATATAAACTTAATTATGAATATAGAGCAATCCATATTTAAATCTTTAGATAATGAAAAGGCATATATACTACAATATAATGCGGCTTATGATTGTACCGCAAATGTTTCTTTTGAACGAAAATCTAAATTTATTTTAAGGAGAAATAACGATTATTTCTAAACTTAGGGATGAAGTATGATAGGATGAATTGTGAAGAGTAATGATAAACGGAAAAATAAAGTGCCCAGGGATGGGAATCGAACCCACAATGTTCCGCTTACCGGGCAGATGCCATGTCCACTAGGCTACCCTGTACATATTCTTCCGTTCGTAAATATCCCTAAGGTTAGAAAAAATCGTTATTTCTCCTTAAAATGAATTTAGATTTTCGTTCAAAAGAAACATTTGCGGTATAATTGCCAAATTCCGTTCTAAAAAAAGGCATATATTGGATTGAATAAAATATTTATTTGCTAATATTTAGGTTGGCTGAACGCCAACCTTTGTCACGGCATTCCATTTTTTATAAACAAAGTCAACGCCGCATAGTGTTAAAACACTTTGAAAACATTTTAAACACTATGCGGCGCTAAGTTTGTTTATAAAAGAAATGTAATGCCTTCACAAGGGTTGGCGTTTAGCCAACCGAAATATTGACAAATGAATATTTATTCAATCCAATAAATGCCGTTTTATTATCTAAATAAACTTGATTGTATATTTACTTTTGTATCAGATAGTCTATAAATAAAATCGAGTTTATACTTTTATAATTTAATAGAAGTACATTGGAGAGGGTCAGATCAAAGAATTGAGTTTTTCTTATATACATACATTTTTGTGCAAATGATTTAGAATTTATTGTCAAAACTATTGAAATTTTATCTGAGACAGGATTTACTCCATTTTTCCGTAAATATATAAATATATTAAAACAAAAAAAGGCATATCCTGATCGCTCATATGATCATTGAAGGTTGTGCAAATCTAGATCAAACTGGCGAAACTGCTGGGAGGGTTCATTACTGATGAGCGAGGTCCTCCCATTATTTTTATCATTGCAAAACACACAGGGCAGTAGGAAATAGGGAAATTATCTAAAAGGTATGATAACTCTTCTATCCTGTATGTGGTTCTTACCTAAGTGTGACATACCATGATAGCCAATCTCCATAGTAGAGGTGGTACACTACATATGATGGTGAAATTTTACAAATTATGAATTTACTATTTTTTTCTGGTCTCGGATTAAAATATGAAATATAAAAATACATAAAGCGAACAAGATTCAGTAAATGTGGTTCAATTCACTCTTGTGTAGAACTGTTGTCCGTGGGCTGATACTGAATAGAAGAACCAAAACAGGATTAAAGTTAACACAAAGCAATAACGCGCCATCTATACATATAAAATAAAAGGATTTAAAAGCGCGAATGTTTCTTTTATACATAATATAAACTTCTACTGTCCCTACTGCGATGAAAAAATATATTGGGAGGGCTTGGCTCATCAGTGGTGAACCCTCCCAGCGGTTTCGCCAATTTAATCCACCAGACCGCTTCTTAGAGCTCTAATATTGTATTGGATCGTTCTGCTTTTATATGCTACACTGAAGGATGGAATCTTAGAAATGGTTTTTAAGTAAACTATGGACAACTAAGATTCCATCCTTCAGTGTAGCGTATAAAAGCAGAATGATCCAATACAATATTAGAGCTCTGAGAAGCGGTCTGGTGGATTAAATTGGCGAAACCGCTGGGAGGGTTCACCACTGATGAGCCAAGCCCTCCCAATATATTTTTACATCGCAGTAAGGACAGTAGAAGTTTGTTTTATGTATAAAAGAAACATTCGCGCTTTTAAATCCTTTTATTTTATATGTACAGGATCAAAGTGGTGTCTTTTACCTATCAAGAGTACATCAGAAGTTACCGTCTCCCCACGATGTCTTACTTCATCTGTCCCAGCTTTTAGCAGCCACAACACATCTTGTCGCAGTATCAGCTTCACATAATTACAAGTTAATAAGACTAAATCTAAATAAATTAATAGTGTGACGTTTCAGTAACAGCGTTGTTACCATCTTCAGACAAAAAACACTAAATGAGAAAAGTATAAGATAAAGGTAACCCAGGCTCCTGGAGCGTATCCATAGATCGCCAACTACCTGGGCTGTCCTGCGGTTTAAAGTCAGTCTTGGTAGCCTTAGTGAACCAGTTCACTAAGTGTTTCCAGGTTATTTTGTTTCTTGGTAGATTCAATAGGGCAGTGCCATTGAATGAGGGCAGTCCAAGAAGTGTATCCGTCTTGAATCGCTAAAGAAAAAACATCACAGCATGTTCTTAAATAATACTGATATCAAATA